TAGATAGATAGATAGATAGATAGATAGATAGATAGATAGATAGATAGATTCTCGCATTCCCACACTATTTCTAACCAAGAAAATAATTAAAATGAAAAGAAAGTAAAAACAAATGAATAGCTGAATCTTTCATCCTATTTAAATTCTGAATTTTGAAAGTCACATGACAAACTTGACATAATGATTCTAAAGCATAATATTTAAAAAAAAACTTTGGACAATTTTCAGACAAAAGTGAATAAAATTACTTACACCACTTTGTTCCAGGGAGTCCTCTTATAGTCCCTCTTTTCAGTCCATCTGGAGCAAAGAGGATTTTCTGTATTTATCTGTTTCTTTGCACTCAGTTTGGCTCCAAATACATTACAAAGCGGCACTTCACTCTATCTTAGAGACACAAGCTTCCCACACAGCCATCCCCAGGGTCAAAGCAAGGGCAGCTGCAAGATCACATAAATCAAACAATAACTGAATCATCAGGGACAGAGGCCATCAGGATCTACACGTCACATTTTCCCAGCAATCTCTGGAGCCAGCTCTCTCAACTTTTTGGTTGTCCTGATTCAGTGTTTGACATATGTTCATTTTGATTGCTTCACACTGTTAACAAAGCATGTTACCAGCACAAACTATCTGCACCTTCTCACAGAAAGACAAACAGCAAGCAGAATGCAATATAGTGAACAGAATTTAGGACTAGAAATAGAGAAGGCATGATTCTGACTTCTATTCAGATAACATTGAACTAATTGTTATTTATTTCATAGCATCATTCAAAGTTGAAGGAGGTGGGTAGACCATGTGTTTGTTTAGAATGAACAGAGGATTAAAATGTAATAAATACTAATAAAATACTAATTCCTTTTTATAAATATCCTGTCCCATTAAAATATTTGTCTTATATGTGTTTGCTTAAACATGGTTTGTTTAATAAGCCACAAATAGCTAGTTTACACCACACACCATCTTCAAGATCATTTAGTATTATGTATTTTTCCTTTATAGAGATCTAGAAATAGTCTTATCTCTGCTTTTAATCCTTCTTTTGTTTCTTCTACTTATTTTCTTTTCAAACAACTTTTCATCAAATTAACTTGTTGAAGATGGAATAGATGTTTTCAGCTGGGAGCGTTAGAAGCTATCTGTCTGAAAAAAAAACCTGATGATATCCAGAATAGTCATAATAGTAGCTTCAGTAGGTCTGGAATTCCCGACAATGCATCAAATGTAATATTCCAGATAGATAGATTCTTCATCAAGATGATCAGCTGTCAACATTTGTGGCCCCCATTTAAACTGTTGTTTAAAACTTTATAATTTTAAATGTTTTGGGGTCAAATACTTTAAAGGACCACCACATTCATATTTATAGTATCTCTCTGAACAGTAAAATTTTTCATGGACTTCCAGGAGGCATGGAGAGATGAAATAATATAGACTTATCAAAGTGACAGAACTTCTAAGGTAAGATGACACACAATCAAAGGTGATGGGCAGAAGTGCATGTATCTCAATATAAAGAATCAGCAGAAACAGTATTTAATAACCCTGATCCTAGTGGCATTCCTTACAACCATCACAGTTTGTCTCAAGGTAAGTTCATGTCTGCAAGTGATTCCTGTTTCTTCAAATAATCTTGGTATATAGTTTAGCTTAGCTGTACTGTAATCAGTGGAGCAGCTGGATGTGAAAAGTAAGCTACTACTGGCTTTGTTATTGATCATGTACTGTGGCATCATGACTTTTCTCTGATAGTGAACAGAATTTATTGCATTGTTAATATTGTAAGCACTCATCATATACTCAAGTTCAATATATGTATTTATGAAAGTTGCTGTCACAGAAATGTCACAGAGATACCTCCTGTATCTCTATAAAAAGATTGAATCTTGGTGAGCATCCACTGGGATTGGTATTTCTTAATATTCGTCAACATTCTGAGAAACAGACAAGTCAGATTGATAATACAGATAATACAGCTGATAATACAACCTTACTGCAATGTGAATTGATTTGGTACATACTTGGAATCAAGGCTTTCAATGTACACATTTTGGTGAAAAGAGGAATATTACATGTGTGCAGAAATGTCCAAACATTTTACAGATAAATAGAAGGGAATAAAATGGAGTTTAAATAATTACTTTCAAAATTCCTCTATGTTAATTATTTTAACATTTAACAGTGCAATAACTTCATTAGTTTTGCGTGTGGGTGTGGGTGGGTGTATCATTTATTATAATGGAAGATTTTTCAAATATTTGTTAAATTAGATTGTTTTCCTTTTTCATTCCTTAATAATTGCAAAAGAATAACCAATATGGTGCCAGAGTTAAATTTTATCCAGCATAGATAATCTGAAGCTGAGACTTTATGACATGATTAAATTGAGGTGTTTTCCAAAGATGGGGATTGTTTAAAGAGGGGCAGGAATGAAAACGTTCAGTGATTTGTTTTGCACATTTCTCTAACAGAGGGGTCCCCAATCCCTGGGCCACAAAGGTTGGGGACCACTGCTCCAACTTATTTCATCTTGTTACAAACTGTAAAATCACTTCACATTTTCCTCTATACTCTGATTAAAATAGACTACATCTTTCCAGGTAACCTTAACTATTTCTTTTTTATTCCTCTATGTTTATTTATGTTTCTTGAACTACAAAATGTTTTACCTATACTCCATCTAGTTCTGATATTTTTCATTAATGTTACTGTAAAAAGAATGAATGGAAAAAATAATAGCAAAATAACTGAAAACTAGGAACTTCATGTATTTTGTGCTAGATATATCACTTAAAATAATGCTAACTGTTGTTGTATTTTATAACCTTAGGAAGAAGGCCCACTAAACTCAACAGACTTTATTTTAGTACCTATATCCTTACCAAAGTGCTTGAAATCCCATAATTCAACATTATATGGAAATAGTAAATTATAAAGTAATTGTGAGGATATTTTTTCCATAACAAATTTAAAAATAGATTTTTTTTCAACTTGAGTGTTTCACTTTGAAACTGTATCTTTTTCTTTTAGGAAATTATAATAATCTCTTTTGCTCTGAAGTCAGCTGTTAAGGGAGTAAGAGCAACAGTATTGCCCCACTGTAAGTACTGTTCCTATAGAGAGGGAATTTGTGGAATAATTGCACTAGGGTACAATTATATGACTTAATAGGTTGAACTTAAGGTACTTTTTGGATGACACATCATATTGCAAGCTAGCTAGTCATATTTTGTCCTGGCGTGTTATACAAATTGAGCCCCTGTGGCTAGTTTATGGTTCAGTATATGGTGTAGGCCCAGAAAATTGAGGAAGTAAAACAATGCTAATTTAATAATATTCACAAATGTGGTGGTTTTCCCTAAATTTGGATCATTCAATTGAAATATCACTATGTGATAAGATTAATTTCTTCCATCAGATATACTGTAGTTTAAAAGTATTTCCATAAGTTTTACAGTAGTCTTCATCTCCTAATAACTATTCAGATTTTAGGTTCTTTATATTCTAAATATAGATGGAGATGAGAAGTTCTTTTTAAGAGTAGACCTATGTATTAAGTAGAGATGTGTATTTTCTACATTTGAGGCAAAAACAATCTGAATATCTACCTGATTGTTTATTTATTTGTTTGAAGTTCCATGTAAGATTTCTTGAAAAGAAACTCCACAAATCATAGAAAATGGGCAAAAATAAATCTGCAACCTCTCTAATTTCTCTTTCCCAGATAGATAGACTCTCTCCTCTCCTTGTTGTGGATAATATGAGACTTAATGACAGACGTCTGAAATCTCAACTTTCATAACTGATTAGCTACACAGTTTCTACTGATGATACAACAGTGTTGGGACTCATCTCTCGGGGGGATGAGTCTGCCTACTGAGATAAGGTGGACTGATTGCTTTTGTGGTGTAGAGACAATAACTTGGTCCTCAACACCAATAAGACCAAGGAGCTTATAGTGGACTGTAGAAGGAACAGATCAGACATCCAGCCCTTGCTTCTCAATGGAGACCGAGTGGAGCAAGTGGCCAGTTTTAAGTTTCTAGATGTTACCATAAAAAAGGACCCGGCCTGGGGTGCTCACATTGCAGCACTGGTTAAAAGGGGCCAGCAGATATTATACTACCTGAGACTTCTCAGAAAACAACAAATGAATGAAAAACTGCTGGTGACCTTCTACCACTGCACCATACAGAGTATCTTAACTTACTGCACCTGTGTATGATTTGCCAATTGCACAGTGGCAGATAGGAAAGCACTCCAAAGGGTTAACGTCATTGGCCAGAAGATCATTGGTTGCCCTCTCCCTTCTTTGGAAGAGCTTTATAGCTCCTGCTGCCTTAAGAAAGTTCAAAACATTCTCAAAGATTCGTCTCATCCTGGGCACCCTTTTTTTGAACTATTACCATCTGGCAGACAGTACAGGATAATAAAAACAAGAACAAATAGGCTGAAAAATAGCTTCTATCCCAGGGCAGTAACTCTATTGAATTCTACTGTACAGTGCGATATCAATGCAATATCAGGGGTTTTCAATTCATTGTATAGAATGTGAAGGATGTGTGTTTGTGTTTATTTTCATAGTCATAATGTACACTGATAAAGTAAACTAAAACTCTGATTTACTAGCCTCCTTTTTTTCTGAAGAAGTCAGCTACAGGTAGTCGTCAACTTACAACAGTTCACTTAGTGACTGTTTGAAGTTACAATAGCACTGAAGAAAATAACTTATGACCATTTTTCACACTTATGACCTTTGCAGCATGCCCGTTGTCACATGATTTAAATTTGGATGCTTGACAACCAACTTAGATTTATGACAGTTGCAATATCCCAAGGTCATTTGATTATCTTTTGCAACCTTCTGACAAGCAAAGTCAATGGGAAAATCAGATTTACTTAACAACCATGTTACTAATTCAGTAACTTCAGTGATTCACATAACAAATGTGACAAGAAAAGTTATAAAATGGGGCAAAACTCACTTAACAAATTTCTCACTTAGCAATATAAAAAATTGGGCTCAGTTGTGATCGTACATTGTGGACTACAATGTTTTTTATTATCCCCTGAATATTCCTTTGATGACTTGAAATTTGTCTCTAGGCTCAGAGAAAAGTGCTTTCTTTTCAACTTCTGAGCAGAGACCTGACCATTTCTTCTTCTCCATTATGAATTTTCATGATATCTGCATTCAGTTCTGGGGGTCTTCTTTATTATCTTTTTGCTAGAAACAGTGTTTATGAGGACAAGAGAAGTGGCCTTTTCAGTGGAGGTGTCTAAACAATAAAATAGCTTCCTTTGCCTGTTTTAAAGAGGTTCTCAAAGCTCTTTTATTCTAGCAATTGTTTTAAAGGTGGGTGTTTTAACATTTTTGTTTGTTTTTATTATTTTTTATGTAT